AGTGTATACCGATAGCGCAGGCGGGGTTACCATTCCATTATCACCCATTAAAAAAAAAACAAAAAAACATACGAATTCTCTCTTTTTAAAGTCGGTTTAAAACAGAATTTTGAGTTTGTTTAAATAATTTACGAGTAGGTATTAAATATTCTAAGATGACTTAGAATTAATGATAATGATGTTCCATTTAATAAATGTACTAAGTTTAAAATCGTAAGACCATTGTAAAGCAGATACAATTAACAATCTCTGTGTGAAATCTAACGTAATTATTTCATTTAATTCAAACGTTTTGTTCATTAATTTGCTGTTTGTTTTCGATTTAATAAATTTGTTTAAGCTTTTAAACAGTTTAGATAGATAGACAGATACTCTTTATTGTTACCTCCAAAAGATTACAATAGTAAACTTATTATAGATACGTTTTTTGAGTTTACGTGATATAGTTTTATTATGTTTAATTTATGTTAAAACATATTTAGGGTCTCTCATATTAATATGACACTATTCCCCCAAAGTGCCTCCTACCAAATTGTTTATAAACACTCCTCTACATCCAAAGGTTGCCTGGAAGAGATCGCTTTTAGCGATAAGGTCGTCCATTGTTTTCTTATTGTGATTACTTCTTGTAATTATTTATATTTATAATGAGTTTACTATTGTAATCTTTTGGAGGAAACAATAAAGAGTATCTATCTATCTAATTATTTTCTCTCTAACTGCACTGGGTTGGTTGGAAGAGATCTCTTTTAGAAATAAGCCCAGCCTTGCTAACAAGTTGTTAAACTAGAAGGAGACTTTGCACAAAAGTCGTTTGCTTGGGCACTTCTGTTCCATTCGTGTTTCTACCGTGAAGTAGTTGTGTTTGCATAGCGGTGTTTCGGTTTGAAAGGTGCGAAATGGCAGTGAATTTACAGAGTACAGAGGAATAACACCTGAGTCCTCAGGAATGGGAACTAATGGGGGGTATCATGGACGAAACAGTATGCTCTGTTATGTCCATGATACTGCTCATGTAGGCGTCACTCGTATAGGCGACGGTTACCACTTTCCATCAGGTTCCGTCAGCTTGTTTGCCATTCTAAGTTGTATAAAAAAATCTTGTAAATTTGAAAGTGTGTTTGTTGGTGTGTTACCTTATAACAGCTTAACCGATTACTATGAAATTTGCTATACATGTACTATATGGAATGGAGAAGAATACAGAGTTTTTATTTTGTAAACTTGACAAATGCAACATCTTATCTACAATGTTTCTGGCAAATAAATTTCATTACATTTAATTTCGGTCAGTGAACTTACCCAGTTACGCGGACAAAGTCGCGTGTAATAGTTAGTAGGTATATAAATTTAATTAACATCAAGTGTTTCGTTTGTTTGTTTAATACTAATATTATATGCAACGCCGCACAGTAGCCCACACTACGCCCACCACTGGGTTGGGAAACGGTTACATTATGTTTAGTTTACCTAATGATCCGCTTTTGTGACATTGGCTAATACAACTATTACGTTATAAGTCAAGTAAGTGACTTTTAACCGACTTAAAAAATAAGGAGGTACTCAATTTTTGGTTCTTGTTTTATGTTTGTCACCTCATAACTCCGTCAGTTGTAAATCGATTTGGAAAATTATTTTTTTTATGTAAAAGGATATATTTACAGATGGGTTCAAAAGCAATTCCATCAAAATTAGTTCAGTATTTTAGTTTTTTTTATTCAGAATAACTGTTTTTATCAGAAATGAAGTCGGAATTTTTATGAAAATCTTTTATAAGTGTATATATCTTAGATTATATAGATAGAGCATCGAGCCTCAAAAACGGGTCAACTTTTTATCAGCCAATTGTCAAATTAGCTAATAACAAAAATTAGCAATTTTTTTAATAGGTGATAATGAAATTAGTGACACGCCTGCGATATCGGTATACACTGACGGGGCACCAGTAATAGATGATAGGTGTGGATGAAAGCAGGTCAATTAGCCCACCGTGACAAATCCACAAAAATTAACCACGATGGTTTCCAGGGGGAGCCGCGTGGAGGTCGACCTAATAGAGTATATTGCTAGCAATAGACACCCCATTACTAACAATCTCTTCACCCCAAAAGTAGCAAATTAGAGGGTGGTAGTAAGTTCCACAGGCGCCATTCCATCGCCTGAACGGAAAAGGATTTGGTGTAATACACGAAGGTATGTGAAGGGGTATATATATATATATATATATATATATATATATATATATATATATATATATATATATATATATATATATATATATATATATATATATATATATATATATATGGTTCGGCTTCGGTTTAGGTTGCATAAAATGTGCTCACTTTGTGGCAGTCGTCCATTCAATTTGTATGAAATTACGTCATGCAAACTGGGAGTGTTTAACGGGAGCGAGCGGAGAGCCTGTTCGTGCTAGACTTTCACTTTCGATTAGAACCTGTGACGTCACAAGTCATAAGCGTCAGAGGGAGCATCATAAGCGTTAGCGGGGAAAACCACATAAAACTTAGCAGTAATTAAAAATTAGCGATTTTGTAATATCTATGACTGAAGTTTACTTTTTAAGCGACTTGAAAAAAGAGAAGGCACTCAATTTGTATATATATTTTTCTCAAACTTGAATCGATATTAAAAAACAAATGTGCTTTCCATTGACAAGGTTCATTTTTAATTTTCATTAATTTTTTTTATATACAACTTAGGCCCACGGCCCACCTGATGGAAAGTGGTAACCGTCACCTATTGACATGAGCAGTACTATGGAAATAACAGAGTTTACTGTTTCGCCCATGATACCCCCCATGCGTTGCCATTCCTGATTACTCAGATGTTATTCCTGTGTACCCTGTAAATTTACGCCATATCCCACCCTTTAAACCCAAACACAGCCATGTAAACACAACTGCTATACGGTAGAAACACGAATGGGACAGAGGTACCTAAGCAATCGACTTTTGTACAAAGTCTCCCTCTGGTGATTTTTATTTCTAGTGACATTTATTATTCATCATTATCAGTCGTTAATTGTTCACTGTTAAGTATAGGTCTCCTACTATTGAGGTGTTGCTTGGAGGTTGCTAGCAGTTGCCACGCTTGGCAGGTAGGTTGACAACCACAATTAGGCTTTATCGATTATTTAAGAGGGCTGGGATGCTGGCCATCCCTCGTCCATTAAGTTCCCTCAGTCGCCTCTTACGACACCCATGGGGAAGGAAGGGGTGACCCATTCTATGCCGAGACCACTCGGCATAGAATGTAATTTTCACGTTTCCTATTAATTTTATTATGATTGAAATTGCTGTATTTCTAGTGGAGTAAAATCTACTTGCTTACTTATTATAGTATAGTAATACTGTCTTAGGTGTTAAGGTTCAATTTTGAATATCAATTTAAGGTGCAAGAAAACACGTCTAAGTGGATATATTTTCAACCAACTTCAATTTCATAACATTGTTGCTTTTAAACCTACAGCGACGAGACATTAGTAATAGAATGGCATGAAGTTAACCAGTGTTTGTTTCTATTGTTGACATTATAAGTAAATTACGTTAACAAATACAATTAACTACTTTATACATCTACTTCTGTACAAAAACACTGGACTGTTTAAATTTTAACTAAAAAATTTAAAATACAAAATATCTTGAATTTTATCTAAAACATTCAACATGATCAAAATCTTTATTCTTTACATGAGAATAAAAGTAGGTTATTTTTATTACTTATCTGCAGTTATCACGCTTCTGGTCATGCACTGTAGTTTTTATTTCGAATTCTCTTTACCTATTTTGATCTCCTTTTTTTTACAACACAGGGGTAAACGAGCATGCAGATCACCTGGTGGTAAGTGATTACCGTCGCCCAGGATCAGCCACAACACCAAAGGCAATGTAGGTGTGCTGCCGGCCTTTTAAAAAGGAATATGCTCTTTTCTTGAAGGTTATAATTTTTGTAAATTGTCCTAAAAATTTTTATAAAACTTTCTCTCGACGTTTATGACTTACGCCACACTGATTTTATTGACTGCAATGTACAATAATTTGTGCCTTTGAATTCCTTTGAGTTTACGAAATATAGAACTTTTTTTAACCTTTTAAAGTAAGGAAGGGGTTGTTAATAATGGGAACTAAATAAATCAGACCCAATTGCTAGCAATATATCCAGTTGGGCCGACCTCTTTGCAGTTTCATAGAGAATTATCATTGCTGGTGAATTCGAGCAATGGTCTAACAGTTAGCCCATAGATATAGCCTAGAGAGGTTAGGACGAAGTTAAGTTGGTTAGCCGTGGGGGGAAAGGGATTGTTAGTAATGGAGACTGCGAATCCTATTGCTAGCAATATACCCAACCAGGTCGACTTCCTCGCGGTTCTCCCTGGTACTATCACGGTTAATTCCTGATGAATTCATCATGATGGGCTTACTGACCTGTTTTCATTCTCATCTATTACCCTTCACTGGTGCTCCGCCAGCGTATCCCGTTAGCGCAGGGTTAGCATACCATTTTCACTCATAAAAAAAAAATAGGTTAGCCGCTAACTAACTTGACTTCGTTCTAACCTATCATCCTTCTCTGGTACTCCGTTATTGTAAACCAGGCAGGCGGGGTTATCGTTCCATTTTTAACAACTATAAATAAATATTTTTGTGCTAACACTGTCGCCGCTAGTATTTATTTAAATAAGTGTGCATATGGTGGACTTAACACCTAATGGAGTTTTCCACCATCAGTCAACCATGAGTATCTTGAGTATATATATATATATATATATATATATATATATATATATATATATATATATATATATATATATATATATATATATATATATATATATATATATATATATATATATATATATATATATATATATATATATATATATATATATATATATATATGATGTATAGGCACTCCGTTTTTTTAGTAATATTGTCAGTTTATACCATACTCATATGTATTAAAAATGTTTCACTTACCAAAGCAGGAGAGTCAAGTGGTCCAGCCGTTCTAGACCTTGACTTGCGAAGGTCACTTTCAGCGTCCGAGGGTCTTGAGTGGTGGTCGCTCTCCCTGTCCGAGGAGTGGTATCGTCTCTTTTCTTCTTTACGTTCCCTGTATCTTCTGTCCTCTTTCAATGTTCTATCGTATCTACAAATAGTAAATGTATTATAGAAGCTAAATATTACCAGAGGGAGACTTTGTACAAAACTCGTTTACTTGGGTACCTCTGTCCTATTCATGTTTCAATCGTAAAGCAGTTGTGTTTGCATGGCTGCGTTTCGGTTTGAAGGGTGGGATATGGCGTGAATTTACAGGGTACAGAGGAATAAAATCTGAGTCCTCAGGCATGGCAACGCATGGGGATATCATGGGCGAAACAGTATACTCTGTTACGTTTTTGGTACTGCTCATGTCTATAGGCGAGAGCTACCACTTTCCATCAGGTGGGCCGTCAGATTGTTTGCTATTCTAAGTTGTAAAAAAATTTAAGAAGAGATCTTTAGTATGATTTTCTCTGTCTACCCTGGAATGGAATTAAAATGGAATTATCCCGGAAATAATACAGACAGATTTGAAGATATAGGTGACTAAAATGATGCCAATGATGCCATCGAAGATGATTTGTAATTGGATTTCAAGTCAATGCTTTCAGGGATGTTAACGCAAAGTGCCAAAGAGCACCAACGGCTTTCCTGGACATGATTGCGAGCACGCTGGACTGCATATGTGTATCACAGCTGCGACATATCGACTGGTATGAGTTAGAAATTATATACTCATATTTCAATTAATAATAATTATCAATATCACATAAGCTTTTAACTGTCCACTGCTGAACATAAGCCTCCCCCTTGGGGACTTTTGCTGATAGTTGTCACGCTTGGCAGGCAGATTGGCAACCGCAGTTAGGCTTTGAAGATGTTTTAAGAGGGACGTTGTTGCCCATCCCTCGCCTTCCTTTAGTCGTCTTTTACGATACCCACTGGAAAGGAAGGGGTGGCATATTCCATGCCGGGACTACATGGCAATGTAGTTTTAAAAAATAAAAATGTTATATTAACACAGTTTTAAGTTTTATTAAAAAAACGAGTCTTTGTTATTCCAAAATTAAAAATATGAATAAACACAATAAAAATGTGAATTCACGAAATAAACGATACTGATTTAGCAACGACTTTCATCCACCTAACTGTTTTGCAGTTGAGCATATCAGCAGTTCATATCAATAATATAATCGTCGTCGTAATATCATATAATTAGAGGCCCATTATTTGCGAGCTACAGCAGATATGGTTTAAGATTTATGACTGCAAAATATATAATTAAAGCCTTTAAAGTGCTGTTCGCGTGGCCAACATTTTGGGGGCAAAAATCTATTTCTTTGCTATCAACTCTCAAATACGTAGTTTATAAAGAACTAAGGATGGGAGATTAAATTATTCTAATTAATGATGTAATAGACGTTTTTCTATGTACAAAATTTGCATTGCACTGTTGAACAAAGGCCTCCTCTATAAGGGGGCTTTTGCCAGTAGTTATTACACTTCGCATGCGTGTTGGCAAACGCAAGGCTTTGATGATGTTTTAAGAAAGATGCTGCTGCCCACCCCTCGAATATTAAATTCCTATAGTCATCTCTTACGACTTCCATGGGAAAGGAAGAAGAAATTTATACCGGAACAAAAACATAGAGAAACAAACTTCTTTATATATTGTTTGGGCAAATATTGAAGGAATTTTTGTGCGTAGATAAAATTGTCTGCCTTTAAAGTTGCAAGTAAATTTAAGAATAATCAGTAACTCAATGATAAAAATGTCAACTATTTTACTTTCACTAAATGAAGGCCATATTAAATGAAGACCTAACATTCACCTTCCATTGTAATCCGTATCTCTATATCTTCTTTCAGGACTGTCTCGGGGATCCGAAATCCTGTACTGATCCAGATCCTCCCTGGAGCTTCGGAATCTCCTTTCGTCTGCTTTGCATTCGTAATCAATTTTCCTTACGACGATATCACTCGGCTCAGGGTCTGTGTACCTGGTCAGGAATATTTTGCATAAGCCAAGAGATGTGTAATGAAAGTATTTAAAAGAATAGATGTGTGTAAATATAAAAGACTTCTTTGGTACTCGGTTCTATCTTTCACTTACCTTTTAAATGATAAGGCACGAAGATAGATATGGTAATAAAATCCGTTCAGATGCTTTTGGCGTCAGATTGAAAAGAACAGAATTTGCAATTTCGTATCTCTCTCGTGGCAATTTATACATAAAATTTATATATTTAATTGTACACACTAATAAATAATACATAAAGAAATGTGATAGAGGTAAGCTAACCTTTGTATATTTGTACAAAGGTTAACTTAACTCTACAAGAGTTCACTTCCAGCAAACCAAAATGGAAGGGAGCATCAATGTCAGCGGGTAGAGCTGTGTACAATACATACTATGGTAACTTACAAACAAAAAGAACTAGACAAATTTAAGTTTATACGTAACCAATAATGTCACATTTAATTGTATATAGATAGATAGATAGATAGATAGATACTCTTTATTGTTTCCTCCAAAAGATTACAATAATAAACTTATTATAAATATAAACAATTACAAGAAATAATCACAGTGAGAAAACAATGGGCGACCTTATCGCTAAAAGCGATCTCTTCCAGGCAACCTTTGGATTAAGAGGAGTAATTATAGTCGTAAACAATTTGGTGGGAGGCACGATGAAAAATTTTGTTAGTTCTATATATGGGAGATGTGATACATATAATAATATAAATATTATATATACATATATTATATACCTACACACACACACATATATGTATATATTTATACATACTAACACATATACAAATACATATATACGCGTATGCATGTATATACATAAATATAATTTTATATTAAACATACAATATATACTCTGATATAAAAAGATAACTTATAATCTACATATAATATTAATAAATCCAGATAAGTGATATAATTTACCTTCTATACTCAGAGTCGTCTCTAGCAAGATGTTCAGGGCTCTTGAGCACCCGGGTGCGAGTCTTTGGCTGGACTACTTCTTTCTCTTTCTTGCTCTTCTTTGAAGAGTCGCGAGAGAACAGTTGTTTCATCTACAATAATAAGCTTAATTACGATACACACTAACTTTCAAGCTATTTATGTATATGTTTAAAATTTCTATGTACAATAATTTAAAAAATGCAAAGAATAGTTTCGATTTAATTTTAATTTGAATATCTCACCTTTTCAAGTCCAGATAATTTCTTTGCAGCTTTTGGTGGTTTCGCACTGACTTTATTATCATGTCCAATGGGACTTTTGTCATATCTGTCACCTTTTGGTTCTAAATGAGACATGTTATCAATACTTTTATCTCTTTCATATTCTTTTCTGTAACCATCCTCCCTAAAGTCTTTGAATCTTGCTAAGTATTCACCATTAGCGTAAATTTGCTCGCTAGGATAATTGTCTTCCGTATGCCTTCTCTCACTAGCCAAAAACAAAGATACGTTTCTCATGTCATCATCACTTTCATGCCGTCTGTGTCTTGATCTGTGAAGTTCACCACTAGAATCTTTACGAAAATCATTTTCGATTCCTGAATCGACCAAACGATTATCTATATCATATCGCCGAGGAGACCTGTCATCACGATAGTATTCTCTGCTGTCTCCCGAGTCATGTCGTCTTATACCAAAGTCTTCTTTGTAGTATCTGTCCTTATTTTTCCCACGACGCAACGAATTATGATACGATTCGGCGTGTTTTGCTTCATAACGAAGGTTAGCGTAATCATCCTCTCTTTCATTGGCTATTTCAGGATTTGACGCATAATGGCCTTTTCTTTTGCCAAACCAGTCATCTTTGACTTTGTATTTATGACCAGTATGCAACATGTCATGACTAGAAACAACATTTTTCTTCACTTTATATTTCTTTTCCTTATATTCATCAGGTGAAAGTATAGGTTTTTCTGTAAATTCCAGACTAGGAGGTTCATATTCTGGCTCCGGAGGAAAAACTTTACTTTTATGTCTGGTATCAGGGCCCAGTCTATCAATGAATTCACGTCTATCTACTTCACCTCTAGGAATTTTCTGAAAAGTTTTAGTTTCCGTATTGTATTTCACTTTATGGTTATCAGAGTCATATTTACTGTAGTCTTCAGTAACACTACTCTCAGTAAAGCCGTCTCTTTCTAAAGTCTGTCTGTAATATTTTGCAGTTTCATTCACATATTTTTCCGTAGCTTTTCTACGCTTTTCTGCTTCATAAATAGGATCAGTCTCAACTAGATATCTTGAAATGGGTTCCTCTGTATTAATTCTTTCTCTTCTGTCAAAAGTATTCTCAATCCGATCGATTCTTCGAGCATTTATTCTCGATTCTAGAAGCTTTCGTCTGTGACTTAGTTCGTTGAAATCTAAATCTATTTTAGTATTTTCATGTTCATACTGTTTTCGTTTAGTATCCATACCATCAGCTCTTCCTCGGTAAGTATCAATAAAATCGTGAGATTTATCATTTTCGATAGGATATTCATTGGCATAGGTCGGTTCAAAATCATCAAAACTTTTTAATTTATATTCCCTAAATTTCGGTCTTATAGGAGAATCTGTGATTTTATACCCTTCCATGCTGTTGTAGTTTTCGTTCTCATTTTTATAGTTATAATCAAAACGATTAATAGAGTTTTTATAGCGTTCTTCGTAACCTAAACCTTCATCTTCATCTGAGAAATTTCCATACTTTTCTCTTGGAGGTGTATAAGTTTTATGGATAGTCTGCTTACCAACTCCATTAGTACCAGTATCTCCATTATCTCTTACTACTTGAGCATATACTACGCCTTTATCCGTCATTTTATTGACCGGTGTAGGTACTCTATCTGGGCTTGTATTTCTAATAAATAAATTGGGATCAGGACTTACACTAGGTTTAATATACGAGAATGGTTGACTTGTATTGGTTCCGTTTGTCGGTGAGATCAAATGGGATTTCGGAGGAGGAGATAACTGATCTTCTTTAAGTATTTTCACTATATGATCTACAGTGTGCCCTCGAGTTAATGGTGGTTTATCAGGTGGCTGTTGGCTGCTATGTATCATTTCTTTATCACCATATACGTTTTCTTCAATTTTTCTGATACTCTCTTTGATTTTTTCCTTAACTTCAACAGGATGAATATCTTTTGCTTTGATAGAATCGATCTCATCTACCAAAAGTGTTTTCTTCAAGTCTGTTTTGCGCTTAGGTGTTTCTGTTATCGAAGGAGATTTTTCTTTTTCTGATGATTTTCCCCTTTTTGTTCTAGCTGGTGGTTTAGGCTCTTGTTTATCAGGGGTTTTATATCTGGGGGGTTTTTCTACGGGATTTACTTTTCTATTGTCATTTAAAGTACTTTGCTCATCAGATTTGTTACTCTGCTTTTGTGATAGCTTTTGTTTTTGAAAAATTTCTAGTGGCGGAGTTTTCTTAAAATAATCGTCTCTAGGAGAGCTTTCGATTATTGGAGACAGCTGAGCTTTTTTATTTCTAAGGGACTTTAAGAATTCTTCGGTCTCACTACCAGATCTTTTACGAATAGGTTTTGATTGTGGAGTTATGTTAGTGTTCGACTTTAAGTCTGTAACGTCACTTTTGCTACGTTTAACTACGGCTACTGGTTTAGTTGTTACAACCACTGGTGTGTCTGGGCTTTTTGTTCTTTGCGCCCTCCTGAATAGTGTTGATAGAGAAGTACGTTCTTTCCTCTTTTTAGGATTTACATCACTGGTTGATCTGCCAAGTGTAGTTTTCGTACCTTCTGTACCGTCGTCACTATTTCTTCTCCCCCTGTCTTCCTTGAATTTTTTTCTATGTGGTAGTGAAAAAAATTTCTCTGGTGGATGGTCTGCAGTACAAGTCACACTATCAGCTTGTGCTCTTACTTTGTTAGCTTCATCTATCAGCTCCTGTTTTGATAAATGTGTGAATGGTTCTTTTCGTACTTGTTCAGATGAGGTGCCCCGCGATTCACGCGGTTTACCTGAAAATATAATGAAATTATCACAATTAGTTAATTCATATTTGTTAAAAGTGTTATTAAGGGTTTGTTATACGATGATAGATAAACAAAATTTTAATATAGCAAAGGCATGTTTAAAGATTAATAATTATGATGCATTAATGTAAGAAAATCCAGATTATTCTAAAGGTTTCAGTTATACGAAAATTAATCATTAGCAAGACAATATAGAAGAAAACAAAGTCTATAAAAAAATTAATAAGTAGTATGTTAATCTAGACAATTATGAAAGTAGTATATAGAGAGAATCCACATGAGATTTTTATGTTTAAAGCGTTTTTTTTTAAGAAACAGTAATATTAGTATTTTTATAATAGTTAATCTTGAGGATCATAAAAAATAATATACGAATACCTCTATATTGTCTACAAAATAGAGACGTGCATTGTCATAAAAACGGAGCAATGTTAAAGTACTCTTGCTTCAGTGGATAGAAATGTCTTTACCGTATAATTTGAATTTTGAGTCAATTACCTAATTAACAGTGAATTTTTGGGTAGTATATGCCCAGTTATGTAAATAACATTCGAATATTAGCGTAACAGGTAAAAATTTAAACAGTTTCATAACTTTTAATGTAGCGCCATTACATTCCTATAAGAAAATAAATATGGTACTAAAAAATTCTCACATACTGGCAAATTTTTTTACACAATAGAATGAATATCATCTTATTTAAATATACTTGGTACTTTAGTTATTCCTTCATTTATATTTCTACTGCAAATTTCAAAATGTTTATCTGCTAAATAGAACTTGCGATAAATTCAACAATGACTTTTTCAAATAAATTTATATTCATCGTCATCATATCAACCTCTAACTACTCGCTGTTGAACGTAAACCTTCAGCTCGGGAGTTTTTGCCAGTAGTTGCCATGCTTGGCAGGCGGATTGGCAATCGTGGTTAGGTTTTGGAGATGTTTTAAGAGGGACGCTGCTGCCCGTCACTTGCCTCACTCACGGGAAAGGAAGGGTGGCTTATTCTATGCTGGTACCACACGGCAAAAAAATATATTAGAAAAATATTAATATATTATAAGCTTAAGTCAGATTTTTTGTGACTTCGCTCATGTCTCTACTATATATATACAGCTTAGAATGGCAAACAAGCTGACGGCCCACCTGATGGAAAGTGGTAATCGTCGCCTATAGACATGAGCAGTACCACGGACATAAAAGAGTATACTGTTTCGTCCATGATACCCCAATGCGTTCTCATTTCTGAGGACTAAGGTGTTATTCCTCTGTACTCTGTAAATTCACGCCATATTCCACCCTTCAAACCGAAACACAGCCGTGCAAACACAACTGTTTTACGGTTGAAACACGAATGGGACAAAGGTACTCAAGCAAACGACTTTTGTACAAAGTCTCCCTCTGGTATAATATATATATATATATATATATATATATATATATATATATATATATATATATATATATATATATATATATATATATATATATATATACACTTCTTGTTGCTTACAATAATAACATGTTGATATGTAAGGATGAGATATTGAGTAAATTAGCTATTAACGAGTGGCAACATTAATCAGCCTGTCAAATTGTGGTTTTTGCCGCCACATGATCGTTTGTTATGGGGTTCGCCGTTCGTATTTTTTTTTTAATTTTGTTACCTTACTAAAATAATAAAATTGTAACTGAACGATGTCTGTAGATGGAAGATATTTATTATGTAACGTTTATTATACAATATTAAATATCAATAGATGAAATAGATGTAAAAAATAATACTTTTTAGATACTTTGTCTTTGTCTATCTGTATGTTTGTTTCGGCATCACTCAAACAAAATCTGCACCAAATTGGATGCAGTTTCACTGTTCTTTTTCTGAAGTGTAACTTAAAAAATGCTAATGTCATTCTTTAGTCTACTTTGAACAAAGTGCAGAGATTCGGGAAAGTGGTTTAAAATAGGAAAAACATTATATGTGTGTGTGTGTGTGTGTGTGTGTGTGTGTGTGTGTGTGTTTGTATGTGTGTGTGTGCGTGCGTGCGTGCGTGCGTGCGTGCGTGCGTGTGTGTGTGACAAGTTGAATAGCTTAATTTAATAATTGTTTGCAATCGTTTTTTTTTAATATGTGAAAATGGAATGGTAACCCCGCCCGCGCTATCGGTATATACTGGCGGGGCACCAGTGAGGGATGATAGGTGAAAAGAGTACCTCTTGGGTACCTCTGTCCCATTCGTGTTTTAACCGTGAAGCAGTTGTTTGCATGGCTGTGTTTCGGTTTGAAAGGTGGAATATGGCAGTAAATTTACAGAGTACATAGTACACCTGAGTCCTCAGGAATGGCAACGCATGGGGGGGTATCATGGGCGAAACAGTATACTCTGTTATATCCACGATACTACTCATATCTACTCGTATAGGCGATGGTTACCGCTTTCCATCAGTTGGGCCGTCAGCTTATTTGCCATTTTAAGTTGCATAAAAAAAAAAAATGTCTGCTTATAAGCAGACATGTATTTGTGAAAAAAAAGTGTAAAGGAAAAACGACACCACTGCTACTAAGGAGAGTTTGCGTCATGGTGCATCTCTTGATCCCAATGTCATGCCTAAATTTAGCAATACAACCGCAGAGCGGGTTTTTTGCGATGTTTTTATATATTTATGGCAGTGATATGGTTTCAAGTGACGGCGTCGTCGTAATTCCTCACTCGTGTTACTTTAAACATAAATGCTCCGAATGTTAATGTTTGTCATTCATTTTGATTGTATTGATTAACAAATTAATGTCGACTAAATCTATCTAATATATAAAATTCTCATGTCGCGGTGTTTGTTACCGAACTCCTCCGAAATGGCTTTACCGATTTTTATGAAATTTTGCCTATAGACATGAGCAGTACCATGGACATAACAGAGTATACTGTTTCGCCCATGATACCCCCATGCGTTGCCATTCCTGAGGACTCAGGTGTTATTCCTCTGTACCCAGTAAATTCACGACATATCCCACCCTACAAACCGAAACACAGCTATGCAAACACAACTGCTACACGGTTAAATGTGTGTGTCCGGTGTCCACGAATGGGACAGAGGTACCCAAGCAATCGACTTTTGTACAAAGTCTCCCTCTGGTTTTATTATGACTTAGCATTAAAAATATATACAACTTCAAATTTTCACTTTTTTACAATCAACCCCTATTTTTTAATCGCGATTTTTATATGCCGCAATAGGGTTGCAAGATCACAATCGAATATAATAATTGTAGTACGATACATTTTCATGTATAGTTCTAGAAATAATGTATATGGTAAAACAACGTTTGCCGAGTCAGCTAGTATTTTATAATATTTCGATTGCATTAGCCATTAATTCGATTGTTGAAAACTCCTTCCTTTCCCGTGGTTTTAATAAAAGGCAATTAAGAGAACTTAAAAGTCAAAGGATGGCTAGCAATGTCCCTTATAAAACCTGCCTGCCAAGCGTAGCAGCAACTGGTAAAAATCCCCTATTAGGGGGGGGGGGGGCTTTATCCAACAGTGCACAGTTAACGGCTGATATGACGATTAACCATTACAGTTTCTAATCTTTTTTTATACTAATATATTACAGTACCATGGACATAACAGTGTATACAGTGTCGCCCATGATACCCTTTACGCATTGTCATTCCTTAGGACTAAGGTGTTATGCCTCTACACCATGCATAAAAAAAAAAACAAAAATAAAAATAGCTAGTTAATTTATAACTGGTGAAGAAACCGGCGGCAAAACGTTATTTAGGTGATATAAGTGACGGTATGCTTAACTAATCCGGAATGTACATTGTTGCCAGCAATACCAAAACATTTGCAACTCATTGCCAGTCCACAAATGTTACATTCAAAAGATTTTTTGCAACACAGAGATTATTGACTTTTCACCGGGTGACTAACATGCGTAGGAGTCGAAAAGTAAGTGATCTCTCCGCCGATAATGACGCCATCTTGCGGTAAATAAGCGGTTTCGAGAACAAAGAAATAAAAAGTTTACCTAGTACATTGTCTCGATGTTAAGTTACAAATGGTATATATATTTATATTATTACAAAATAATTAAATAGAAGAAAGGGAGGTGTTTTTTTTTTGATGGGTGAAAATGGTATGGTAACCCCGCCTGCGCTAACGGGATACGCTGGCGGAGCACCAGTGAAGGGTGATAGATGAGAATGAAAACAGGCCAGTTATAGCTCATCATAATGAATTCATTAGGAATTAACCACGATAGTTTCCAGGGGGAACCGCGAGGAGGGAGATCTGGTTGGGTATATTGCTAGCAATGGGATTCTCAGTTTCCATTACTAACAATCCCTTTCCCCCCTAGAAAGGGAGGAGTTAAGTGGGGGAAATGACAATATTTTTGTAAAAAAAACTTAAAAAGTTATTAATTATTAAATGCTACTATACTGTTGACGAATACTTGAATGACAAGCAGACTTTATCTTTTAATTTACAAATAAATAATTAATTATGAATTAATAATGATTTAAGACATAGCTAAAACTGACATTGCTGAAATTTTATTATTAAACTATTTATTAATTACTTCTACAATATGAATAATTATAAACTACAGAATATATTAAATAACTATATAATACTAAAAACAATTACGATATGAATAGATACACACCGATACTTAAATAATGAATAATAACAATACAGAAAATACGTAGCTATCGTGATACAATTTCAATGACTGGATAATATTGTAACAGACTCTTAGACTATTTCTAAAGTGAAAAAAGTGTTGTTCTCCTCTCTCGTACTCGCTGTGCCCAACAGGGTCCATAATTGAAGTTGAAATGTTATCTACTAATTACATTATGGAATGCAATAAAAAATAAATTGCCGGAGGGAGACTTTGTACAAAAGTCGATTGCTTGGGTACCTCTGTCCCATTCGTGTTTCTACCGTGAAGCAGTTGTGTTTGCATGGCTGT